GCAAGAGGGAGCGAAGCCGGGGCTGGAGCCCCCATGCTGCGACCCACAGCGGGGACCTCACGTGCCCTGCACCACCCCACAGCACCCTATGGGTCCCACACAGCTGCTACAGCCCCTACAACGCAGCCTGCCTTCACTCTTCACTTACGGGATTATTAATTAATATATTTTTTTTTTGGAGAAAAGAAATCTGAAGCCTCACTCTGGCTTCCCTATCAGCATGCTGCACGCTGCATGACCCGTGAACCCGAGATATTGCTTGGAATCAGATATTTCATTAGGAAACATTACTGTGGTGCTCATTCCCTTCTTCATTACTTCTAGAAAGAGAATATGAAATTAGGGCTGGATTCATTGGATTGCCACTGTCACTTGCCTTGACCCATTTTTACTAGGGCTCCATGTTCTACTGTTTTATGTTTCATTGTCATTTCTAAAGCATTTGTCCCCTTCCATCCCTCACAAAATGACAAAATTAGTATTTCATTTACTTCTGTGGTATGTTATTTTCTGCATACTTAAAGAGAGACCACAATGTTTGCAGTGAGGACACAATACAACAGAGCTTTCCTACAGCTTTCTGCTATGCCTTCTTTTATTTACTAATGTTCCTCTCTGATTTATGGATCCCAATTATTCCAAATTGCCAGATTTGTCCAAATCAAAGCTTCTGAGAAAAAAACAACATGGGTGGAGGGACGTCCTTTTAGAAGAGTGGCTTAAGWAAGTGTATTAGAAAGCAGGCAAAAACCGTTTCCTTTAAGGTCAACGTGTGACTGCTCTTAAATACAGCCGGAGCTCCCGCTCCGGAGCAGCCTGGAGCAGCCACCTCGGGCACGGCAGAGCAACACGAGGAGAAGGGAGAGGAATTAGATCTGGTGAATCGCAGCAGACGCGTAGCAGCCACCGAGTGTGTGGGGGCACCGTGTGTGGCAGCCCCGGGCATGGGAGCTGGAAGGGCTGGTGTCCGCSGGCAGGGAAGGGTTTCTTGTGCCCTGAGCTTCCATTATAGATATCTTTTATAGATATCCATAATCCAAAATGTATCCATATAGATATCTTTTTCATTTTGGAAGATCCATTAGCTCTTCTGCAGCGCTGTGCAAGCCCCAGCGCCCACCCCTTGCCATGGAAGCAGAGGCAGCGCTGGCGGTGCGCTCAGCACCGGCACAACGGCACCAAATCCCTGCCCTGGGCAGGAAGGTGTCCCGGGAAAGGCTGGGGCTCCT